AGAACCCCCCGGGACCCCCGCCCAGGCGCACCTGGGAGATGAAGGGGCTGATCTGGTTCTTGATCTGCATGAGGCGCCCCAGCCCCAAATCCCCTCCTGTGACCTCCCCCAGCCCCAAATCCCCCCTGGGACCCCCTGGGACCCCCCTGGGACCCCCCGGGACCCCCGCCCGGGCGCACCTGGGAGATGAAGGGGCTGATCTGGTTCTTGATCTGCATGAGGCGCCCCAGCCCCAAATCCCCTCCTGTGACCTCCCCCAGCCCCAAATCCCCCCTGGGACCCCCTGGGACCCCCCTGGGACCCCCACCCAGGCGCACCTGGGAGATGAAGGGGCTGATCTGGTTCTTGATCTGCATGAGGCGCCCCAGCCCGCGCTCCACGATGGTGGGGAAGTTGAGCAGGCGCAGCGTGTGCCCCGTGGGCGCCGTGTCGAACACGACCACCGAGAAATTCATGCCCTTCACCAGCCTGGGGGGGCCAGGGGGGGTCAGCACAGCCCCCTGGAGACCCCTCCCCACGCCCAGGTGAGCGTTACCTGGCTGAATCCTCGGTCTGAACCCCTCCTGAGCCCCTCAAATCCCCCTCCCCAAACCCCCAGGTGAGCGTTACCCTTCACAATTCATCCCCTTCACCAGCCTGGGGGGGGCCAGGGGGGGCATGGAGACCCCTCCCCACGCCCAGGTGAGAGTTACCTGCCTGAATCCTCGGTCTGAACACCCAAATCCCACCCCACACCCCCAGGTACCTGCCCCAGACCCCTCTTTAACCCCTCAAATCCCACCCAACATCCCTCAGTGCTCACTCAAACCCCTTTTTGACCCCCCCAAATGCCATCCCACACCCCCAGGTACCCACTCAAACCCCTTTTTAACCCCCTAAATTCCACCCCACATCCCTCGGTGTTCACTCAAACCCCTCTTTAACCTCTCAAATCCTACCCTACATCCCCAGGTACCTGCCTCAAAGCCCTCTTGAACCCCTCAAACCCCATCCCACACCCCCAGGTGTCCACTCAAACCCCTTTTTAACTCCTCAAACCCCACCCCACACCTCCAGGAGCACTCACCTGGCCCAGGTACCTGCCCCAGACCCCTCTTTAACCCCTCAAACCCCTCTTTAACCCCTCAAACCCCTCTTTGACCCCCCAGGAGCCCTCACCTGGCCCAGGTGCCTGCCCCAGACCCCTCTTTAACCCCTCAAACCCCTCTTTGACCCCCCAGGAGCCCTCACCTGGCCCAGGTGCCTGCCCCAGACCCCTCTTTAACCCCTCAAACCCCTCTTTGACCCCCCAGGAGCCCTCACCTGGCCCAGGTGCCTGCCCCAGACCCCTCTTTAACCCCTCAAACCCCTCTTTGACCCCCCAGGAGCCCTCACCTGGCCCAGGTGCTTTCCCCCAGCCCCCCTGGAAGCCCCCAGCCCCACCTCATGACCTCGGCGTAGCTCATGGCCTCGTCGATGCCGGGGAAGGCGCTCATGGCCTCCTGCATCATCTTCTTGCCCATGCTGAGCACGTTGTCCTCCTCGAAGAACTCGTCCGGCAGCTCGGCCACGCCCAGGCTGGGGTCGATCTCCTGGGGAGGGGGACGGGAAGGTGGGGAGGGGGACAGCAGGGTGGGGAGGGGGACA